TACTCATCGAGACGTTCAGACCGGGAGTGATGGAGAGACTGGGTTTGGGTCCCGAAGTCTTAACGGCTGCCAACGAACGGCTCGTTTATATGCGGATATCAGGCTTCGGACAAACCGGGTATTTGTCTCAAAAAGCTGGACATGACATCAACTACTTGGCCATCACTGGTATACTGTCAAAGTTAGGCAAACGCGACCTACCGGTGCCGCCCATTAACGTATTGGGTGACTACGGGGGCGGAGGTTTGATGGCAGCGCTCGGCGTAATACTGGCGCTGTTTGAGAGGACTAAGTCAGGAAGAGGTCAAGTGATTGACTGCAACCTGACTGAAGGCACGTCATACCTGTGCTCCTGGCTCTGGGAGTCCACTGAAGACAATTGGTTTATGCGGGACATAGTGTGGCCCAGACGTGACCAACGCATGAGTAATATGTTGGACGGCGGCGCCCCCTTCTACCGGTGCTATAGGACTCAGGACAACAAGTTCATGGCAGTGGCCGCTCAGGAGTGGAAGTTCTACCAGTTATTGGTCGAGATGTTAGGCCTTTCTATTGAGGAGTGCGATAGAAATGAGACCGAAAATTGGGACCAATTGTCGGAAAAGTTTGCCAGAGTTTTCGCCACAAAAACACAGAAAGAGTGGACAGAAATGTTTGATAAAGTGGACGCCTGTGTGACCCCAGTTTTGGACTTCAAAGACGCCCACCACTACAGACATAATATCGACCGAAACTCGTATTTCCCGAACGGAAGGCCCAAACCGGCGCCCATTCTGTCCCGAACTCCGGCCAAAGCCGTGGCCTATGATAACGAAGAGACCGATTGTTTGCATACAAAACAAATACTTTTGAAATATGGATATTCTGAAGGAGTTATCAAACAATTGATTGCAAACAAAGTGATTGAAGCCGAGACTCATATCTCAAAACTTTAATCAGTTTTTTATCATTTATAACATACTGTAGTACTCACCAGTCAGTAAACCGATAGTTATAATATTGTACTGAAATTCAATTATAACTCTTATAAATGATGACTACATTATAAATACTCTTATAAATAATATTATCCATTATAGTAAAGGAAAGAATAATCTAAATAATAATAATAATAATAATGTTTAATTAATAAAAGCTAAATTAAATTTATAAATGCATCTAATTTTGTATTATTTAAGAGGTGTCGACCGCTCAGAACCCATTCCTTCCCTCCCATCCACTCATAGTGTTTGGGAACGTTCATCAATGGCCCGACTTTTGTGATCATAAGACCGAAAGCCGGGTCTGTTTCGCGCTAAGGAGGGAATGGCATCTCTAATCATCGCGGGTTAGGCCGACTCCACATTGGATGTGAAGCTGACGAATCATACTATAGAAATGATTCTTTGAAGTATGATCTTAATGGA